GAGATTTGGTTGGGGGTTGTGCAAATTCAAGGTCTTAATTTGCATCTTAACATCCTTCTGTGCACACACAAAAGAACAGGACTGAAGGTTGTGTATATTTTCCTTGCCTTTTTATCCTCATTTCCTTGCCACAATCAAGAAGAATGCGTTACCATTCTTAATGGCCTCAGTGCTTTCTAGATAAAGATATCCTGAAAGTCCGATGGTCAGAATCATGGCATCAGAAGTGAGAATTTTCTGCAGAGTTTCAGAATAAGTAGGCATTTTCTAGTGAAGAGGTGTTTCCCAAAGCAAGTCCCTGTTAATAAATACCTGCTGTGAGTGGGTGATATTCCCCTCTGCTCCACAAAGTGGGGAGGAGATTAAGGAACTCTCCATCTGTTTCTGTGGGGTATGGCTCAAAATACATTATGATCTGTGTCTCGGGGCCTGGGGAGACATGGGCTGGCATCGGCACGGCAGGAGAGAGCTGGGCAGTCTGACTCTGAGTATATTGTTTGCTTGGGGAAATGGGAAGGCTGCAGGAAAAATCCCTTAGTAAATGGAGCATATGAATGAAACCTGGTCCTGATGCCAAGTTTATTCTGCACGTCCTCATGGAGCTAAAAAAGTGCATTAGACTAAACCATTATTGAACTTCTTGATTACATAACAATTTCCTCATCGTATTTCCAAGAATATTGAATCTATCTATATTCAAACACCCTCCTACTCTCTCCCACACACCACCCCTTCTCCTTTCTATATCAGCTTCATTACTGAGGATGAAGACAGAAAAAGTGTAGGGCATGTTGCCATGAGCAGATAGAGCTCAGATGCTTACATTGGGATTTTAGAGCCATCTACGGGATTTGGACAGCCTATTCTCATTAATTTTAATGGCGTTGAGAATCTCCAGTCTTATACTTTGACCTTAGTTAGGGTTCTTAGCAGTGCAAAGACCAGATGCCTATTACCAAACCTAACACTGCCTGAAACTTACCCCACCTGTGGGACAGCACTCGCAGTTTTGCTGCCCACCAAATTCTGCTACTTACTCACGTAATCAGCTTTCACGTCTCATTTGCATGTGTAATAACCAGCCTGTATGCACAATCATGCTAATCACTTCCAGGAAAATGCTTTAAATTCATTCAAAAGCTTGCCCTGCCTGCCCTTGGGTTATTCAGCTTCCACAAAGAAATCATACCAGCGATACAGATTCACTCAGTAAAAGTCTTTGCAGAACAGACTATTTGACTATTTTCTGGAATCCTGCCTATACATACTGAGTCGTGCACTGCAAGGCAGTGCTGTCTTTAAGAGCCAGTCCAACACGCTCTGCAAGTCACTGAGTAAAGTACCTGATGGGGAAATTCACCATTTATGGTGTGCTGCAGCAGGTGAAATGTAAGAGCAAATGCAGAAATAGAGAAAGGGAACTTACACAGCTTATTTTATGCAACCTGCTAGAAGAAATGGTTCTGGGGAGATGGCATCAGAAGCACATGGCTCAAAAGTGAACCTGGAAGAGCAAAGGAAGGAGGGAATGGTGGGAATTGCGTGGAAGAGCTCCCAATCACACTGAGCATCCCTAGAGTGTGAGGTATTGGAACAGGCTGCCCAACAAGGTGGTGGAGTCACCACCCCTAAAGGTGTTTGAGAAAAGAGTAGATGTTTTACCGAGAGGTATTGTTTAGTGGGCACTGTGGTTATGGGTCTAGAGTGGTCATGAGTTGGTGGTTGAACTAGATGATCTTATTGGTCTTTCCAACCATAATGATTGTGTGATTCTATGATAAACATTCTTGGTAGTGTATCTTTCCTTCACTTTCTGTGTCTCATTACTGACAGTGGAAAATACAAAAGCTACAGTGCCAGAGAATCAGTATGTCTGTGATAGGAAGTCATTTCTGTAATCTAAAATAAAAGACTATAAATATATTGGTATAGAGAGTTGTGCCATTGAATGCACTGCTAATGCTCAGGAGCAACAGCAACTGGATCTGGTTTGCAGACAGCTGCTCCTCAGGTGGGTTTTTGGGTGGTGCACACTACAAGACATGTCTTAGAGAAGGATCCTCTAAAACGCCTTCTGGATAAATTTATCCTCTGTTGTTTTGGTATTTTCCAACTGAAAAGTGCTCTGAATACTTGAGGACAGTCAACCCACATTTGGAAGTTTTTCTTAGCCTGACAGCCTTCTAAAGATGTATGATTGCAGCAGACCAACAAAGGGAAAATCTTTATCTTAGGAATACAGGTAACATCTCGCTGCAACTTGCTGGGGAAATGATAGATGTCTCTGTCTGTTTATTGCTTTGCTCCGTGACTAGATCTGCTAGACTAAAAACAAATTTTACCCTCGGTAAAACACACTAGGTACATCTAAGTCTACAAATAAGCCCTTCTGTGCATAGTGGGCAGAGATAAAGCCCAGCAAGACATTGGAAACTGCTATTGAAAACATCCCAAACACCTTCAGAAATCACAAGTTGTAAACAAAGAAATTGCTGCAAAACACTGAAAGAGCCTTCTAGGAAAGCAAACGTGGATCCCTGCTTCTGGGAAAATTTTCTGGTCTTTAGGACGTGATCTTTCAAATTAATCTGCAGAAATAGCTGTCTGAATTTTTCCCCACTTCAGCATAAAGTCCTCTATCAAAATATCTCCACCAGTTTCGCCTCATTTTTCACCTTTTCTTTCAGCCAAATAAAAGCAGAATCCATGAGTAAGATTAGATGGTTGCTTCTTCTGATTGCTCATAAGCCAGATTGTATTTCTGCTGACCTCTTTCTAACACTCAATTAACTGAAATGTAGAGATTCATTTTGAAGTTATTTGTTTCCTATCAGTAGATTGTCTTCAGTGAATACATTTTTATACTCCTAACACCAAACTTTCTTATAAACAATCTGTTTTAAAAAGAAAGGAAATCTTCCCTGCTTTTCTCCTAATGTTAAATAACTGAAATCTCCTAAATATTAAGTAACTGAAAGTGATGATATTCTAAAATTCCCAGCATTGCAGAGGAAGGCATTTACACCATTCACTTTTTTTCATGTAATCCAATTTAAGCAATGAAAACAGGCTGTTTAATGGAACTAATGTTTGTTTCTAGTCAGATTTCATTCTCCAGATTAAATTACTAGGTCTGCAGTGTCATGGTCAAATTAAAGTTACATTTTCAGTTATTTAAACGTAAATGTTTTTTGTTACACTGACTAGGAAAGGGTTTTTAACCTGCAAGTAGATTTTAGGACGCTTTTAGAAGTCAAACTGTCAAAATTGAAAGTCTGACTTTAAATTTGGATTTTTTGACGGTGTGTGAGCTGACTTTTCTCTGAAAATAGTAGCTGAATTTAATTCAAGCTGAATTTAATTCAAGTAAAGCTTCCAACCTTTGCAGAACACTTCTGTCTTTCAGCTTTGAAGAAAAGTTGAGGCTCTTCCAGAGACAATTAAAGTGTTTCTAATCCATATTGCATCTGCGTGTTTCTTGTACAGCAGCAAGGCTCGTACTGCTGTAGGGACTGTGCATTCGGCAGTCTGATAGCTCCTGACCACTAGAATATCTGTGCTGGATTTGTCTGAAGAGAAATCCTGCAAGAATTTCTTTCTGCAGAGCCCCAGGTGGTTATTGTGGATATTCTGGTATTGTGAAGCTGGCTGAGAGACATTGCTGTGAGGAAAGCTACTATCCAGTTATACGGGCAAGGAAGGACATGGGCTCAGAGCATGTCAGATTTGCAATTCATGATGCAGAACTCCTGTCATACATCTTATAATTCATTGCTTCATATTGTGTATTTAGTCATCACACACATATTTTGCAATTGATTTTATGCTTCTTTTCTATCTCAAGCGGAAGAAAAGCAAGCATAAGGGACCAGCTTACAGTGCCATGAATGCATAAAACATTAGTCACGTATACGTGTGTTTTGAAATCATTTCTGTATTTTGGCAGTAACCTAAGAAACTAGATATATTCCTACCCAATTAACAAGCTAGAGAAAGAACCCACTAGTAGAAAAAAAAACATTCCTCAAATTGTCTGTCAGCTCTAAAACCTCCCTCAAATGACTTTAAAAGAAAACGTAATTAGGGAAACTGGAAAGAACAGAATTAAAACAGATATGGAAGGACAGTCTGCCTACAGCATCCGAACGCTGCAAACATGCTAATCTAGCATTCCATGCTTTCCAGTTCTGCATAAAGTCAATGGCCCAGGAGCTGAGCATGTGTATGTGATTTTTTTCAGAGAGGTTTCTCATTGCAAAGTCTTCTCATCTCTTTGCACCCTTGCTCTCAAGACCTGGTTTCTACTGGGGGCAGAGCTTTCCACTGCTTGGATTTGCCCTGCCTAGACTGTCTCGTTGTGCAGTTCCATTCACCTGGCTGGGTTTGCTCTCTTCCCTTGTTTTGGTGAGGAGCTGGGATGGGCATTTGGTTATACACAGAAGAGCTCACGTCTCAAAATATTTTAGAAAGCCTCAGAAAATTTTGTGTGTCTTTCACAACTGTCAATTTCAAATTAGAGATGAATCATTCAAAAAGAGTATATTACTTGTACAATGGCATGTAGTGAAAATGTACACACATCACTATAATAAGCCACAGGCAAGCAAAAATAATAGACATAGCCATGCATTTCAGAGATGGTTGTCCAGATGGGCTTTGTTGAGCACTTAATTAGTAGTTAATCAAAAGGTCCCGCTGTGAACTGCTTCACAGTCCTTCTGGCATCCTAGCTGCTTGGAACACACTGAAAATGAATGAGATAAATGCACAGGAGTCAAAGTAGATGTTTTATCTGCTCTATGCATCTGATATAACTCAAAGCAGTTTTCAAAATAGAATCACTTCAGGATGCATTTCCATGTACTAAAAGCTAAATTAGTTTAGAAATTCATAAATGGAAGCACAGGCATGTGTATTAATGTTATGGTACGTGTGGAACGCAAAGGTAGATAATGTAATATATTCTGAGCCAAACTAACTGTCTTCTCTTTCCTTTCCAGATTTTGGCAATCATTTCCATCATGTTTATTGTACTATCTACAATTGCCTTGTCCCTAAACACACTTCCTGAACTACAAGGCATGGATGAATTTGGGCAGACCACAGATAATCCTCAACTAGCCCATGTGGAAGCAGTGTGCATTGCATGGTTTACAATGGAATACCTCTTGCGGTTCCTATCCTCGCCTAAGAAATGGAAGTTTTTCAAAGGCCCGCTGAATGCTATTGATTTGCTAGCTATCCTACCATACTATGTCACTATCTTTCTCACTGAATCCAATAAAAGTGTACTTCAGTTCCAAAATGTACGACGAGTGGTCCAAATATTTCGGATTATGAGGATACTCCGGATTCTAAAGCTTGCCCGGCACTCAACGGGTTTACAGTCCTTGGGGTTTACATTGAGGAGAAGTTACAATGAGCTTGGTTTACTCATCTTGTTTTTGGCCATGGGCATTATGATCTTTTCCAGCTTAGTGTTTTTTGCAGAAAAGGATGAGGACGATACAAAATTCAAGAGCATCCCAGCTTCTTTCTGGTGGGCAACAATCACCATGACAACAGTAGGCTATGGAGATATCTACCCCAAAACACTTTTAGGTAAAATAGTAGGAGGACTGTGCTGCATTGCTGGAGTGCTGGTGATTGCTCTTCCTATCCCAATTATTGTCAATAACTTCTCTGAGTTCTACAAAGAGCAGAAGAGGCAAGAGAAAGCCATTAAGCGCAGAGAAGCTCTTGAAAGGGCCAAAAGGAATGGTAGTATCGTCTCCATGAACATGAAGGATGCATTTGCCCGTAGTATAGAACTTATGGACATTGTGGTTGAAAAGAATGGAGAAAGCATAGCCAAAAAGGATAAAGTTCAGGACAATCATTTATCTCCCAACAAATGGAAATGGACCAAGAGAACGCTCTCTGAAACTAGCTCTAGTAAATCTTTTGAAACTAAAGAACAAGGATCTCCAGAGAAAGCTAGGTCATCTTCAAGCCCCCAACACCTGAATGTCCAACAGCTAGAAGACATGTATAACAAAATGGCAAAGACTCAGTCACAGCCAAACCTTAACACTAAAGAGTCAAGTCAACCTGGAAAGCAAAAGGAAGAGCTAGAAATGGAGACCCTTCCCGGCCCTATGGTGCCCTTGCTGACAACTCGCACCGATGGGATCATTGACATGAGGAGCATGTCCAGTATTGACAGCTTCATAAGTTGTGCTGCAGAGTTCCCTGACTCTGGGAGGTTTTCCCACAGCCCACTCGCTACCCTTCCCTGCAAAGGTGGCGTTAATGTGATTCAGGAGCAGAGCAGAGCAGAAGGGAGTAGTGCCAGATTTGCAGAAATAAGCTCTGAAGGCAGCCACCGTTCTGCTTTTTTCATAGAAAGTCCAAAAAGCTCCATAAAGGCCAGTAACCCTTTAAAACTAAGATCTCTGAAAGTCAACTTCATGGAGGAGGATGCCAGCACGTTAGTACCAGCATCAAATGTCCTGAGAATATATCCAGACACTCTCAAGAGCAGGGGAGCTGCTGCTGCCACCGTCACAGATACTTCCTTACTCTCTGACAGATCTCTCATGAGCCCAGAAACCTCCATCTACACAACCGCGAGTGCGAGAACACCTCCAAAGTCACCAGAGACACAGACAGCCATAGCTTTCAACTTCCATGATGCCGGTATTCACAAATACATAGATGCTGACACTGATGATGAAGGTCAGCTGCTTTATGATTCAAGTCCTCCTGGAAATGTGAGTCCTAAGTACAATGTTACAAACATTGGTTATCTAAAGCAAAAGGACAATGTTTATAGAACAGAGAAGAACCATCTAGAAGCTGCTGCTTTACCCACCTCCCCTAAGCTAATAGGGCAAAACTGCATTTATTCTATGGAAGGTATCACTGGAAGAACCCAGGGCAATCAGGAGTCTGTCAGACTAGAAAATCACATTTCCCCAGAAGTCCATGTGTTACCAGGCAGTGGAGGACATGCTAACACACATGATCAAAGCATCTGAACAGGCTCCAAGAGAACTTACTGAAAGTTTAAAGGAATGTCCTTACAGTCAACTCAAAAACAAAAAAAAAACAAAAAACAAAAAACAAACAAACAAAAAAAAAGAGCTTCTGCATGGCATGAACTTGGCTGAAACAAGCCATCTGTTTCTAAAAGTCTGAGGGGAGGTCCAGTGTGGGTTTGTGAAAATGTCCTTCTCTGAAACAACTCTAAAGACATTGCCCACATCAGTCAAAAATAAGGATTGCAAGTCATGATCACACATTGATCTCCTTTCATGTTGTCCAGTGAAGCCAATGTGACCAAATATCCATCCATTCCCCTTGAACGCTAGAGCTCCTTTTGGAAATATTAACACCTGATTTGCGTTAGTTCCATAAAGGATGCCAAGGCAGCCAGATATGAACTCTGGAATAATTTGCTGGGGTTGGTATAAAGCTATCTAAAACACAATGCTCTTTGCTTCAGGGCAGCTGTTTCTCATCTGCAGCTTTCTCTGATGGATATTATGTCTAAAGGTAACAGGGAACACTTGCATTATTAGAAAAATCCAAGTGAAAACCATTTAAAACAAATAGCGGTCTAGAGAAACCAGTTATTAAAATGCTCTGTGTGTGTTTAACAATACTATATCCTGTAGGACCTGACGTTTTCTTTTGAAACATCAGCAGGGTGAGTTGCACCACTTGTATCTAACTCCAAACACCCCTTAGGACGTAGTGAAACTCGCACTTACCCTCTGCTAAAATCAAAAACTGCCCTTTGGGCCAGCACGTAGCCCTCGGGGCACACACAGCCCATGCTGGGAAGGTGTGAAGGAGCCATGCAGAAGCAGGGATCTCCAGCAGCATCACAGCCCCCTCCCCACAGCTGGGGAGCATGGGGTTAGAAGGGGAGCTCAGCTCCTCTCTGGGCTCCCGGCTGCACCATGGCAGCTCCCAGCCCTACAGGGATGGCCGAGTGCAGTAGCTGGCCCTGAGGTTTGGTCTGGGCATGGCCGGCTCCTCGGTCCTACCCTTCCCACCCGCGCCCTGACTTCAGGCATCAGCTGAAGTCTTGCCCTTGGCGTAGGAGAGGAACCAGTTGGTCTGAAGCTTTTCGCGCCCACGTGGCGTGGTGAAAGATATGCAAGCGTTACATAAATATGCAAAAAGAGGGATTCTTTAGCTACCCGCCCCGGGCCTGGTTGTGCTCTCTCTTGTGAGGAGGTTGGGTGGGAGCATCTCCTGTCGTGTTGGTGCATCCAGCAGCACGGGGAGACTGCCAGAGACAGCAGGACCAGGCCTGATGTTTTAATAGCATCCACTCATTTTTAAGTGAAAGAAGAAAAAAATAAAAAAATAAAAAATACAAAAAAAAAAAAAAAAGATTTGACCATTTTAAGTGAACAGAACTAGCAGCCACCAGCCTAGGTTTTTAAAATATTATTGTTTCAATAAAGTTCTGTCAAATTGTGTAGGAAATAATTTGTCTTTGGTTTTTAATACTGGGGGGGAAAAGCACTTTACGTTGACTTTTTGTTGTTGTTGTTGCAATGCTGGAGTAGGATAGCAGAGTGTAACAATCAAGCACTTTAACCAAGCACTATTTTAATTTGTGCCTCCTGTCGTGACTGTGATTTGTTACACGCCGGTAGCAAGTCACAACCTGTCCTGTGATAACTGTGATGGTAATCTTTTATGTTGTTATCCGTTTCTACTGTAAAACTCAGTTGTAAATAACTGTCAATAAGCGTTTCCTGACCTATTTCGGAGCACCTGCCGGGGCGTGTAGCTATCTGCATGCAACAGGTCTTGGGGCGTGCGGAGGCACGGGACTCGGGAGCGGAGGCGCACGCTGGAGGAAGACTATAACTATGTGAGCCCGCTGCGTTTTGTCCCTTCCCCTTGTGAAAAAGCCGTTGGTTGGTCCTGAATGTAACTGTCTGTCCGTCCGAGCTGTACAGTACTTCTGTCTGTAATCCATAATAGTGAATGCAGCATGTACGGACAAAAGCAATAAGCACATAATCTGTTTTAGGAACTGTTATGGGTTACGATGATAGCTTTGCTAGGTCTCTCCGTGGCACAAACCCTCACGCGTGCTGGAGCGGTTGTCCCACTGGGTTCCTGGCGGTGGGATGCAGCCCGAGGCACTGCTCACACATCCTCCTTGCCTCCTGCAAGGACAGGCCCTAGGGAATGCGCAAGTGAGACCTGAGCCACCACCTCACGAATTCGCCCGCTGGCAGTGGAAGAGGCCTCGTGTCATGCAGAGAATTACATGGGAGGTACTCAAACTCAGTGAGTTGCTCGAACTCCGTGCGAGCAAACTGTGCTCTCCAGGGTATTTACACAGGGCCAATTCCTGAGGTTCCTCAGCTTTTGCTCTGTCTTCACTCAGTCAAAACCACCATTCCTCCAAATGGGCTCTTTGCCTGGTGAAGGACTTTAGGATTTGGCCATAGTAAATACAAGTGTACTTAAAGGAACTGACGTATTGCTAGTTAAGATTGAGTCGTTATGAAGAAGTAAAGTGACTTTCCAGCAGATAAGCTTTAAATACTGATTTATTCTATGGCTTTCCGAGGCCATAGAGTGGCGATGAGAAATTTTAACGAGAACAGTCTTAACATAACCTCTATGTTTCAGTGATCATTCATGTCTGCCATCAGCACAAATGTAAAAAGAAAAAAAAAAAAAAAAATCAGGGACAATTTTTTTGATAAAGTAAGTAATAGTGATTTCCAAGCTAAATATTTTTAGAGCTGATGCTTTCATGTGGAAAAAAAAGTCATATTTTACATATCACAGAAGTGAGCATATTTAAATATAGCCATATAGTGTAGTATTTACCACACTTTCATCCAAATTAATGTATTTGGTTTATAGATGGCACTGACAAAAATGTATAGATCAACGATTCTATCATTTTTAACTGATAATCAACTGGTGCAACTCTCCTTGTAACCAAAGGCCCTCTGTTTGCCTTGTGTGTTCACTTACGACACATATCTTACATCATCTATTTAGTCCTACCTTTAAAGTAGCATTTTATTGAGTCACTTTTGAAAGCCAAATTCAAAAGTATCATTAAAAATCTACCTTTTAAGTCTGAATAGCCAAAGTCCTATAGATTTCTTATAGAAAGCAAATAATTTAAAATTGAGCATATAATATGCTTGAAGAGCATTTCTTTCTTATTTGTGTATGAAGATGTAGCTCTCATTTTGTGCCCAGTTAAAAAGGAAGTATGTTTAATTTATTTTAATGAAATAAAGTCTGATTATGAAGTATGTACCTATATATGTGTGTGTGTGCATAATACACATATATATAATGTAAGCACTGGGAAATCTACTCTAACGTAAAGCTAAGGTAGACTAAATCTGTACTCATTACAAAAGGAAAGGCAGTGCTTTGAAAACATAGTGCTCACTAAATCCTATAGATACTAGAAAGACAATTTCATTTTATAGTTTGTTTGGTACATATCTCCCAGAGCTCATCAAAGTAGGAGCAAATATGCAATATCTCTTGCATCAAGCTAAAGTGTGCAGTTTAATCACTGATATGTGGCATTCAGGTCTGTGAACTTACTGTGTATCCTGGATCAAGCAAGATGACAGTTTCACCTGCTGCTGCAGAAGACGTTGTATCTGAAAGGACTATGTACATGTGATGTCTGCTCTTGCTTGTATCTTACGCCATCAACACCATTTTTAATACATATATATAAATATATATATATATAGAATATATATATTTGCGGGAGGAATGGGTGCAGTTTTCTTAACTAGGAAGCAAACAAAGATCCTTTGAGTTTTAGCCTTGAACAAAGGAAAGCAGCAGTCACTTATTGCAGTAGATTTCTCAGTGCCTTTTCTTAGAAACTTCACCTAAGCACACTTACGGAAAACTAAATAAAACAAAACAGTCTCCTGTGAAATCCACGTTTTTCTGAAAGGTTTGAGAGTCTATAAAGGTAGAAAGAAAAAGAAGAAAAAAAAATAAAGAGGAAAAGAAAACCCATGGAACGCACATTCCCTTTCTCAACATGCCGAGTGTCACATGCCGGGGAATTTGTCTGTGCAAGGCACACAGGAAGGAGTCCAAGGCGGTTGGTTTCTTTGGCAACTATGGCTGTGATAAACTGTAGCCTTTTCTTCCCTTGCAGCTAATAAGATACACATTTCTAAGGAAAACAGTATTCTCTTCTGTAAAGTTGTAATGTATTGTTAATATTTGTACCTATTGTATATTTATGTCTTGACAGAATTATGACTGGTACAGTTTATAGTAAACAACAAGGGTATTTAAAACTCATTACAAAGACAACGTCTCTAAAGCCAAGTTCTCTCTCTGTTGGTAAGTTCCCCATAACACGATCTCCCATAGTTCTTAATGCCTCATTTCAAAGCAAGCAGTAGAATTACTGAGTAAAGCAGCGGAGATGGGGACTGCATGGCACTGATGCCCTTCGTGCAGCTCAGTCAGGAGCAAGATGGGGAGGTGGGCTTCCCAGCAGCTCCAAATTGGCTCCAACTTCTTCAGCAAAGCGCTCGTGTTTGGTCAGTCACTTCTGCCTATGGTAACTGAACAGAACAAGTGTTACCTTAGATTGCTTTAGGATCAGCCACCTGGGGAGAATATGGCTTTAAATAGTTCTTGAATAAAGTACAGATGTTTTAGTTACCTCTGTACCTTCTGTTTGCCATTGTGTTGGCTTTATAAGTACCTGATGTATGGAAAAGTCATGTGACTTTCATGCATTCCAGAGTAGTCTATTTTTCTGTTCAGATAAAAAAAAAAAAATTATATATATATATAAAAATATAAATATATATATATGTATTTTTAGCAAATTTATAATAGGGCAATCAAGTCAGATCTCTTCTTTTTGTATTACAGAATAATATATTATATGCTTTCTTGTTCATTTGCGTAGCTGGTCCCCTAACTTTTTTGTTGTCATCATTTTCCCTCATTCTGAAAACACCCGCAACATCCCTCCTGGAAGTGAGTCTGCGAAAGGTCATTAAGTTTGTCTGATGTTGTCATGTTCTTGTATTTTCCTGTTTGTGGTACGTAAAAATAGCCAGAGATTGGCTATGGAAACTAAGTTGTACTTTCTGAGAAACAAAGAAGTGGCCAAACTGACCTCGGTTATGGCAGTACTGGTACATAACAGCCAATGCCACTGGCTTCAGCGTTAGCCATAGCCTGGGTTTCAGTGGAGTTTTTCCAGATTTACATCAATTAAGATGAGACCATGAAGAGACAGGATTTGAATCTGATTGTCCTAATTATTATGATAGAATTGGGATAAGTATCTCATTTCAGTTTTAATCAAAACAGAAAAGTCAGACTCTTATTTCAAGGGCAGTGACCTAGCAATTCTCAGGCAAAACTCCCTCTATAGCTTCTACATCCAGGGGAAATTTCCCTGGGTTAAAACAGAAGGATCAAGACTTATTTCTCACTGGGTTTTTGGAATTTCTACTTTCAGTCCCAGATAAAATCAAGAAATGGACAAAAAAAAAAAGTAAGATAATAAAAGAAAAAAGCGAACATGTACACATTCAGGAAGGGACTGGATTTGGCTAAGGTGAAGACCACCCATGTACCTGCTTACCTAGTGATCTTGCTTGCTCCTTCATAGCTGTACCATCACACAAATTTAATAAAAAGTCCATGAGATAAACGTGCATCCAGAACATATCTCATGGCCTGTCAAAGTCTAGCATGACAAAAAGATTCAGATTGTCCTTTAACTCCACAGAAAAGTTTTGGCTTGAATCAGCCCAACAGTCTGTTCACAATTTTCTTTCCACAGATGGAATTTTGGTCTCTTTTTCTGTTCTTACCTCAAAGCAATCTCCTTTGTGTGACTTTCTTATATGCTCACCACAATACCCAGTGTATCTGAAATAATTGAATTAATTTGGGAATATAGTGTATTCAGAAAGTCTTGGTAACACCTGAGTGAGCAGTATAACCATCAGAAACTGTTTTGTATCTGATTATGTATCAGCAATACTTATTTACACACAAGGTGATTAAAACTGGGTGGGCTTTTTTGGTTGGTCGGTTGTTTTTGAAAACAACTAGTGCAATAACCCATAATATCTATCATAAGAAATCCCATAAATCTCTTCAAAATGCAGTTTCCATATCACAAAGTTCATCTGAACGTGTTTAACCACACCACAGCAAGATTCTAGACTTGCCAGTCTGAAATTTACTCCTGCAGGTAGCCCTCCCACCGAAACAGAAATGACCCAGATACCAACCAGCCCATCAAAGAAGTGGTGTTTATTTTTCAGCATGAGTTTTGCACCCC